TAACAACGATGTAATTTATGATTAAGTGGGTAATTTGGAATGATTTGGACGTAAAGCATGTAAGATTGAATCAACAATGGCCCCGGTCCGAGGTGAACCGAGGTGAAGAGCCGTGATGGGCTTTTACGTGTTGCTTAGTAAAGTGTTTACAGTTCGGAGATTTCGGAGAAAGTGAGATCCCCCTACAAATGTCATAGGCCCGCTATTTATAGTGATTTCGGGTTGATACATTGGGATCTGTGCATGACTTTTTCGAGTAAAGCTACTTTTTGTGGGCGGTTCGAGGCGGGGGGTCCCACATAAATGATGACGGATCTTGTGGAGCTGGAGGGCGAGACGTAAGCGCCTTGTCACCTGCTTAGGGAGGTGACGACCTCGGTTCATATTGATCTCGGAAGATGTTGACCTCGGTAGTCGTTGACCACTTCGGTCTTTGGTGGTTCAGGCCGGTTCTTTTGTGTAGATCGGTGCGGTTCTGATTCACGTCGGTTTAACCGTTAATCGCATTTAATAGGATGCTTAAAACCTCTTAACAGTGTCTTGCCGAGTCGGATAATAACAGGGGTGTTGATTGGAACGAGTTTTTTCGCTCTTTCTCTGCTCTCTGTTTCTCTCCGCTCTCTGTTGCTATTGTGCTGCTCGCGTAAAATGAATGAAGAAGAACTTTTTTTTAATATATTTTACATAAAACGTATTTAAGGAATACGTAACATATTCCTTAAATACGTTTTATTTAAATGTATTTTTTTTTAAAAAAAAATAATTTTTATGAAGACGTATTACTCGAATACGTTTTCCTACAACGTATTACTCAAATATGTTTTTTTTTTTATTTAACGAAAACAATTTTCAAAATTATTTTCGATTTTTTTTAATTAAAACAGTTAAATAAAAACGTATTCAAGGAATACGTTTTATTAACAATTTTTTTTTTTTTAATAAAACGTATTCAAGGAATACGGGCTTTTTATATTCGTCCACTCCCTTTTTTCTTTTTTTTTTTTTGTCCACTTATTTTGTTGCTTTTTTTTAAATAAATTACCCTAAGGTTTTGTTGTTTGTGATTAGTTGTTGTTATGATTATTTTCCTCGGTTTTATTCTCCTTTTTTTTTGGGTTGCTATTTTCGGTTTAGTGAAGATTATGCTTAAGTGGTTGTCTCTTTTCTTATGTTGGTTGGTTTTTAGAAGTTTAATAATGTCCTTAAGTTTTTGTTCTTTGTGATTAGTTGTTGCTATGATTATTCTCTCGGTTTTATTCTTTCTTTTGTTGGTATCTGCAGGTTTAGTGAAAATTATGCTCAAGTTTAGTTCTCTCCGATAAGTTTTCAGGGATTATTAGCGATCTTTGGTGCAATTGTTTTGGCTAAGACTTTCTTTTGGATTGACTTTTTACTGAGTATCTGGTAAGTTATTATTGTTTATTTGTTACTTACTAGGTTTGTTCATTTTGCTCTCACCTTCATATTTATATTTGTGAAGATTTTGTTTGTTGTTAGCTTAGTGAAGCATTTTTAGGCATTAATAATACAAATGTTGGCCTAAAGAAAAAAATGAGGGCTGATAGTATTGAAAAATGGAAACTAAAGAAACTGAAGAGGATGCCAAATTATGTCGAGTCATCGTCAAATATACATCATAATGGACAATCTCACGCCATATAAATTATATGTCTATGAGCCAAACACCTGGTTCTTTTGTACCTGCTACAACTTTTGAGTCTACCTTACCGTCAAATGCACATCATACTGGACAATCCTCACGCCATATAAATTATATGTCTACGAGCCAAAAACCTGGTTCATTTGTTCCTACTGCAACTTTTGAGCCTACCTTATTCGAGAGATCTCATAAAATTCCGCACTAACATAAGAAGTATATATCAGGTCAAAACGCTATGGATGGTCGTCTTATATTAGATCAAGTTCCAACAGAGTCTGCTATTTTGCCTAGATCACCGGATTCTGTATATTGTGGTGTTAAGAAAATTTTTCATGAAACTTCATATATGTGTAATATCCCGATATTTCATCAGTATAAATTATGTTTTAATTCTGATATAATAATGTTATCGATTATTATTTTCGGAATTAATTATTTTCAGTTGAGTTTACCGAAAATTATTTTCGACGTACCGTTTACGTTCGGAATAATTTTGGTAATTAAGCATTATGTTTAATTAAATAATTAAACCTAAGTAGTGATTAATTGATATTAATCACACCTTAATGACACATAAAGCCGAAGCTATGTTCCAACTTTGACAAAAGCCGTACGGATGAGTTATATGTTTCCCAATTTATATAAATTGTTCCTAAGTATTAAGGAAACCTTTTTCCCTTCTATTTAAGTATGGGGTACGTGGCATTAGTAGGTGCAATTGGGGGTGACTAACCCATTTTAGTCACTAAGTAGGTAGCAATTGTCAAGTGAGTAAAATGCCACGCCTACGCTACGTCACTCACCCTCAATTCGGCCTTTAGTATTTATAGGGGTATTGGGTCCGATTTTCTCCACCCCTAGCATTATATATATATA